GCGACCACCTGCCAACGAAATTGAGGCTATGAACAGGCTTATGGTAGCACATTTAAGATTTTTTTAACAGATTTTTTAGTGAAAAACAGGACAAATACAGCCACGTAATGATCTTCCACCCCACTTCACTGGAACACCTACAACTGGGATCCTTTGTGCCGGAAATCCAATACACAATTAACTCCTGACGCACTCCCCTTTGGATAGGGAAACATCATGAACGCATACAGTTATTTGCTATCAAGCAAGTTGAGACGGCCAAACACATGTTAACCAGGAATGCGATACCTTTTAGCGGAATTTCTCCAGGATTTCAACAGAAAAAGAAAGCGGAGGAACGAAAGCCAGGATTAGCAGCGCGTAAACTCACGTCGATCGCAGCACTATGATAAAACAGCTAATCAAAAAGGCAAAAAAATAAAGAAAAAAAGTGGGGCGTCAAAATAAAAAAAAAAAAGGTTTTCACAAAACTGGTTAGCAAAAACCAGATTGTGCACCATTTTGACTGAAGTCGCTACATTCACAAGATGATTTCTGCTCATTTAGCTCTTGGATTTTTAGCAAAATCTCCTAAATGTCAAAATCGTCAAAACCGCTTGAATCGTCACTGTGGAGGTCTTTCGATACGGAATCGCACTTATTGGTTTCGCAGTAACTATGCTAAATCCCATAGGCCGTTCCAGGACGGATTTCTAGAGGGGGCTTAGGGGGTAAGGCGACGGGGGTGAACAAGAGAGACCTCTCCCACGCTAGAACTATGTAAAAAATAGGAGCAGAGTTGTAACATTGCTGATTAGGGTTACTTTGGTTTAGAGTTGCTTTAGACTTTAGTTTTAGCTTTAGACCCGGGCACTGCACTGATGCCTGCTCCTCCTCCCTCCCCCTCTCCTGATCACCTATGCTCAATTTTAATATCCCTTGAACTCTACGCTGACAACATGAGGGGCTATAAACATTCGCCCAGTACACCGTTAATATGCGGGGGGTTTCTTCGGAAATCGGCTAAAGACACAGGAATACCGATAATAAGAAACTTTCACTGACTTAAGCAAATTTGCAGAGGCAAGTGCAACAGGAGAGTGCAAAACGAACGCAAATGCTCAGTCTGATTTTTGACAAAAATTTCGAGGAACGAATCAGAAATTGCATGCAAACACGAAAAGATATGGAAGCACGCGCAGCCGCTTTCGAGGCACTTATCCAACAGGAAACACTCATCAAAAAACCCATGTGAGGAGAAGCTCTCATCAACTAATTAAGGGGCTTATCAAGACATGCCAGACTGAGCAGAATTACTCAAAACTGCATGCCTTTTGCAGTTAGTACCCGTTGGCAAATGTATAAGTGCTTCCTAAGCTGAACGAACGGACATTTCCTCCCAATAAGCTTACTTGCATAAATTGAAGGATCCAAGGCGGACTGCTGGGAGT